AAAATCTTGATATTTTCTCTGCAAAAGAAATATCTAGCGTTTAATAATGCAATGAAATCATAATAGTTATTGTAGTGAGTTTGATTTCTTGGAAGCGGAACATGATACTGTATCGGAGTCAACGGAATCATGTTTTAATTGGCTTTCAACGATACGACCACATTCCATAAGTAAAGTTGCCATTGATGTCGAAGAGCAGTATCAGGATGATGAATGTACGGAAATTGCTGGTGATCAGCGCCCATCTTCAGCAGGTTAGCATTTGTAGATATAATTTCTTTTTCATTTTCGTAAACGACATTATTCATGAATTTTTGTAGATATAATTTCTTTTTCATTTTCGTAAACGACATTATTCATGAATTTTCCGGATTACAGCTTCTGATTCACTCGATGTATCAAGTGAAAGGACACCAATTGGGGCAGGAATTCGTAGCGAAACCGCTTCCGAAGAAGAAAGTTGTGAAGAATTAGAAGATGAATTTGCTATTGATGATGAAAAGCTTCGGTAAATACTTTTACAAAATTTCTCCTAAACTATTAAGTTTCCAAAACAAAACCGGAAATAATAGCTGTTATAATATTTGCAGAATGGCAGATATGTCATCGTTAGCAGAATCTATTCGATGTGGCCATTCGGTAGCATCGGTGGAAAATGTACCACCGAAACGACCTCCTCTATTCTTGCAATGTAATCATCATGCTTCAGCTCAAGTGAGTCATACATATGTTTCTATTTTTTTTCCCTGCAATTCTTTATAATATTTATTCTGTTGAATTCAAAATCATTTTTGATATCACTTACTCAGCTAAATATACCAAAAATTCATGTATTTTTGAAATGCGTAATTGAATTGCAAATATTTATTTATTATTAATATTGATCTTTGTTACGGTTGTTCATTACTTAATTTCGAACTTCTACATAAATTAGACCTACATTAATAAGATTAAATAAACCTCCTTATATTATTTGTTTTTATAACTTTGGAACATTTCCTGTTTATTAAGGATGTAACTTGTTTAATTTTACATGAGAATTGATTTATTAATCGATAATCGATTTCATCTTACTGTTAAATAAGAATGGATTATTTAGCATCACCTATAATGAAACTTTGCTTATGCACCATTTGTGTTTTTAAAATTTTCAAGGGTGAGCATCAATGGCTTTCAAGTTTTGCGGATTTGAGTGTGGATGAAAGTGGCGATTTGACAGCGCATGCGACTTTGCTTTTCACTCAACTTTACCGGGTAAAGTCACCTTTCTATAATTCTCTTTAAGGGTGATAAAAGGCATCCTTCATATTTAAATTGTCTTCGTTCCCACTGCGCTTAAAAAAGTTTATGAAAATTGTAGCTACCTTTAGATCAGGGAGTTATTTGAGTCTGTAGTAATAAGCCAACAAAAAGATGTATGTTAAATTGTTTCATGATTCTTTATTTGAATATTGCATATCCTCATCAATGATATCGATTAATACAGAGCTGTAGAATTTGAGATATTAGACTAATATATCGCATATTTTGCTAGGCTTCGAATGATATTCTGGGATATTTTAGGACATGTTGAGGAATTGTTAGGCGGTGAGAAATTGTTAGGTAAGCAGTTGAGGATACTAAAATAAAGTAATTAGAAATATGGCATAGAGCAAATAAACTTTTACTTGAAGTAAAAATTTGCATCCTCTGCAAATATGTTAAATTTTACTGATCGTTGGATTATTTAATTAAAGATATATTAAGAGATATCGGGATAATTTTATTCATTTCCTCATTTTGTCATTAAAATTTGAAGAATTAATTTTGTAAAAACTTAATACCTATGTTTTTTTTTCCTCAAACAAACAGATTGATTTTTCCCTTAAATATAATTTTATAGAAATTTTATAAAATAAATGGTTAAAGCGTCTAATCGGCATTATGATTTCTCGGTATATCACATTACAAAATAGAAATAAGAGGAATATCCTGTCGCTCTCATTTACATGATGTGTTGAGCAAATAAAGCATACAGCAAAATTGCTTGACTTTATCCATTCAAAACGACCAATATCAATTTCATTGTCCATTACTCCGGATGGAATAAGTTAAGTAAATATGAGAGTACTTACTCATTCTCAAATTACCTATATGATATCATTTGCGCTACTGAAAATGAATAAATTATTCAAAAAAATAGATGTTAAATCAAAATTCTATTTTTATTGTGCATATATATACATATATATCCGATAAGATGGATCCGATAATTAAATTGAACATTTATTTTACTTTTATTTTTTAATGTATCAAATTATTTGTAGGAATGTTGTTTGAAATTATCCGGTATATTACGGGATGCATCACAAGTGCTTTCAACATCACATCATGAGATCGCTGCTCAACTTAGTGATGCATTGGATCTTGTTCTTAAAATTTTCGATTGTCCATTTCTGTTCGTTACGGCTCAATTTGTATGTTAATTGATTTGAACAACTTTTTATTCAAAAATTAAATATCGATGAAAATAGTTGATAATAAGGAAATGAATATTTTGAGCTAAAATTTGAATTAATTAATGCTAGTTTGGAAGTAGTCGATTTTATAAACTAGTAATTAATCAAATAATTTCAATATTAAAGGTAAAAGTAGTTTGTTTAATTATTTTCATTCATTAATCTTTATTGCTTCATATCCCAAGCAAAACTAATTATTTGTACTGTTAACATTATTTGATTTTGCTGATTTTTTGCTAATATTTTAGGAATCATTGAAGCAATGTTAACTTATCTTAAACTGGTAGGAAATAAAATTTGATTCATAATAACTTCAAATTAATTTTAAATTTAATTATATTTAGAAACAATTGAAAAATGAAATGATGGTATATGAGGGTATTTTTTCAACTCTTACCAAACGCTAAAACTTATATCTAACAGTTTATTAATTTGTTTCAATAAATTGATGAATGAATCAATTGTTAAAATTATCATACTATTCGAAATGTATTTGATCTAAAACAGTTGGTCCCTAACTTTATCGTTATCCTTTGTTTAATAGTAATACTAAGGATAAGGAATTAATCATTACCTATCAAATTCTCTACATATACTTGAAACCATATGTAAAAAGCAATCTGTTGATGATTTAATACTTAAACGAATATAAGGAGAAGAAAGAGGAGAAAGAGAGAGGGAGAAAGAGAGAAAGACTAAGCTACTTATTAATCAAAAATGAAATTTGAATCTAGACATCTCTCATCTTGCATTTTAGCACTACATCTAAAGCATGCATGCACACTTCAATTGCGCAAACATCAAATACTTTTTTTGATGATTATGAAGAGCTTACCACGATTATGTTACCAACTATTATCACATTCCATATTGCTATAACATTACCAAGATATATAAAGAAATAAACAATTTTTTTTTTATTTTATTTTTAAAAGGATAAAATTTTCTCACATATTATAAAAATAATACAAATTTACATTTTAAAAATATTTCGAAAAGTTTTGAAAGAAGTGAAAAAGAAAAAGTCAAATAAATGAAACTAAAATTTTTAAATTTAATTTAAAATTGAAAATTTTGATAACTTGATGAGAAATTTTTATAAACAACGGTAGTTTTTTTTTTCTTTTTTTTTTTTAAATTGTTATTTAATAAAGGATTGGAACAAATAATTGTTAGAAATTCGATGATAATACTTTTGCATGTTAATCAAGCAAGATATTATGTAAAAGAAAAAAAAAATGTATTAAACTTTAAGTAAATAATTTTACGAAAAGGGTACTGTATTTGCGGTAGTAAATTTCTAGAAACATTCTAATCCAAGTAGTAGCTTTTTATCTGGAATAAATGATCATCAGAAAAGAGCATTCCGGAAAGACATTTATGTGTTAAAATTGATTCTTTGTCAGGATGAAATGGAATTCATATTTCGAAATATTTAATTCGTTCCTTTTTCTTTTTTTTTATGAAAAATTAAGCTAAAATTTTAAAGTACAAAAATAAATAAATAAAAATTACTACTAAATTTTTCTAGAAATAGCTGCTACTAATTACTACTACTACTACTACTACTGCTACTACTACTACTACTACTACTGATACTATTACCATAGTCATAGTTATAACGATGGTAATAATTTCATCATCCTACTGTAATCATTTTAATTTATTTATCACTTTACCTTTTTCATTTTTTCTTTTTTTAATATTTGATATTTTTGCAGTTACATAGCACTGAAATGTTATCACAGCAAAAATGTTTGCTATTGGAATTACATGAACATTACGAAACATTTGTGGAACGTAAAGAGCAATGTATTCGAGTAAGTATTTAATGTTTTATTTTTATTTATAAAAATAAAATAAAATTAGCCAAGAAAATAGTGAAGTTAAAATGATGAAAGAGAGAGAGAGAGAGAGAGAAGAGGATAATGAAAAAAATGGTGACTTATTTAAAAAAAAAAAAAAGCTTATTATCTTTTTCCTTCCTTTTTTTCGCTTTTTTCTTTTTTTTTTGTTACTCCATATGTCTCAATTTGATCAATAATTCATTTATTTATTTGTCTGTTTTAAAATTTAGTTATTAAAAACCTTCAAAAATTAAGCCTATTTAATTATTCTCAAATATTACGTGATTTTTTTCTTTTCTTTTTTTTCTTTCCATTTATTTTTGTTTTGAATTGCTAAAACTTTACTTATATTATTACAAACCAATTGGAGAATTCTATAATTTTTAATTCATATTAATTAAATCAACTAATTAAGTGTATAGTCAGTTTGAAAATTTTCAATCAAAAGTTGGTAAATTTGATAGGATTTAAAAAAAAGAAATATAACATTTTATGTATTCTGAAAAGCTAAGATGAAAAAAAAACAAGATTTATTAACAAAAAAGAAGTCATCCAAATTGTCGAATTTTTTTTTCGATAAATTCGTAATATAGCAAAAGTATAGTTAGAATTGTGCTTATGAAATTATATCTTAAGATTTCTGGTTATTTTTTATTTGACAATTCAAAAGATGAAAAAATGAACCACAATACAAAGTTTTTGCAATGAATCATTACTTATTAATATTTGGATGAGTTAAGAGATTATTAAATTATTCATTTAAAATTTAAAAATAAGGGAAAGCAAGAGAAAAGAGAACGTTTAATAAAAAAGAAAAAAAAACCATTTAATTTGTCATCGATTTTATTGTCATCTTTCCAGTATCACTTAAATTTCCTGATTACGGATTTGCATGTAGCATACATTTATTGCTTTACGGTTAATACCGGATATTTTCTTCTCTCATTCCTTCCGTTCTGTCTCTTGGTTCCTTTTTATATATTAAGAATGAAATTGAACGGAAACAATCCATAACATTTTGTAGGACGGAAAGCAATTATCAATTCTTTTCATGGAATAAAGCAATTATCCTAATCGATTGGTTTCCTTGAGCTACCAAATATCACGAATTAATGCACCGTTACTAGGCCCTCTTAGTAGAATTATTAGGCCTGGTGATGATGTCAGTGTAAAAGTTAGGAATAAAAAGTATGCACCTAATTGTATCAGATTATATTATAAAAAAGAAAAAAAAATTATTGAAATTATAACGCAAATGAGTTGGTTAGGTAAGACCAGGTAAGCTGGTATGGATAGCTAGTTTGTTATTAGTCTCTTGTTGATAGCTTAAATCAAATGATTATTTGATAAAATTTGAAAAAAAAACGGAAGGATTAGAAATTGTCGCTAATATTTTTAAAAAAAAGATGGTGACAACATTCGATTAATAATGTCCCAACGAAATGAAATTTACAAAGCCAATAAATTAATACAAATTTAGGTTTATTTAGGTTAGAATTATCATCACTACTATCCTTCACCTATAGTTAACACATCATCTCTCTTATTTGATAATATAATTGCTTACTACCGGATATAATAAGCTTATCCAACAACATACAATTAATATATTCGACAATATATAATTGATTACCATTAATTTTTGCGCTACTAAATAACCGTTAATGATTCATGTAGTGTAAGTGATAATAGTTTTTATATCAATAATCTGGAAAACAGAAAAAAGAAACAATGTAAAGTTAAATCAACTATATTTAGGATATTTTTCAAAAAAAAAAATTTGCATCATATTGATAAATTTCAGGCTTTAAATGCGATAAAGGCAACAATGAAATTGGCCTTAATTGGTGGTCCATCATTATCAGCGGTTTCTTCAAATCAGGTTTCTATTCTTCGAATTTCACTCTCATCCTGAAATTTTTCTTTCTCTCTTCTTTCCTCTTTTTTTTTCATGATATTATTAAGATAGTGAAATTTACATTTCAGTACCTAGAATTATGTCGATCAGTGCACAAATTATTCTTCCAGTTACTTCAAATCACGGATAAATTTGATGAAATGGTGAAAAGTGTAGTAAATGGTTCCAATGTTCAGGTACTATATTTAATTTATTTAGCCTTTTTCTATTAAAATTTCACCATTTTTTTGGGTTAATATTTGATTTAAGCATCCATTTGTTTTTGATTTTTTTGCGAAAAGTAATCCTTACTGGCACGAGATTTGTTTCTGTCTTTTTTCTTTTTTTTTTTTGGAATGAATGAAAGCAAATTATTATCCCTTATTTGTGAAATTTTTCATAATTACTTAGTATATTCATTAGATTTGATATAAGAAAACTCGAATGAATAATATCTTTTATCTAATTTGGACACATTACATTAATAACACAAATACTTGAAATTATCCATAACTTTTGGTTATATAATGATATTTGAATTTTTTATCAGTAGATAATATTGGAATAGTTTTTAAGTATTAGTCGATGTTTTTTTTTTTTCAGAATTTTAAATGTTCTGTTTTTTTTTAACGTTTTCCTTTTTCTTCATTTAAAAAAAAAAAAAGAAATGAAGAAAAAACTGTGAACAAAACGGCAATGAATTTATTTGTAAAATATGTTTGGTTACAGTAAGTATTTCCTAATCAATATATCCGTATATGTATATGATAATTATTATCATGAGAATAATGAGTAAAATTAAATTATTACTTCTTAGGTGATAAGCGTTTATATTAAGCCAGTAGGGAGATTTTTAAGTTAATTTTGACGCATTTTTAGGGTAAATTTTTTTTTTCAAGAAATTATTGGATAGAATTCTCGTCGAATTCGAGGAAATTATCTTTAATGATGGGAGATTTTAATCGTTTCATTTTCATACTTTCATCTCTTTTTTTATTTCATCCTTTTTCTTTTTTTTCTTTTTTTTAAATTATTATAAATTTGATTGTTGCGGTAGTATTTTGATGTCTTTCTTGATTTGCATACTTTTTTTTCCTCTGTTAAATTTTATTTTTTTTTTTGAGTTTATGATTAGATGATGTTTTTGGACTATAGACTGATAATTTTATCCTGAAACTTTTGCATGGAGATAGATGTTTGATGATAAAATAGAGACGATGATGAGGAAAATGAAAGTGAATGTTTTGCAAAGATATACAATGATACTGTATATATACATATATAACTATCGATATGCAAAAATCAAACAATATGGAATAGTGAAATACTTAGAGAATATTGAAGTACTATAAATTTTTGTAATGTACGTAAAAATTTATCTTCACTGATTACGAAAAATTTCCTAATTTTTTTCTAATATAATTTTCACCTGAAATATTTTTTTCCGGAATTTTCGGAAGACAATTATCGGCAAAGGATTTTTTTCTTTTCAAGTAGATATTTTTTCCGGAATTTTCGAGAAAGAATTATCGGTAAAGAATTGTTTTTTTTTCCTAAGTAAATAGCAATACGACATTTTATACGATAATTGATAACATTACAACATTTGCGACATTAATATATTTCTCCATATATATATATATTTATATAGAAGTTATTCTTTGGAATTTACAATAGAAAGAGAAAAAATACAAGCATAATAGCATCATTTTTAATCTATTTATTATCTAACAAGATTTATTCATACTTTGTATAGCATTTAAGATATTTAAGATTGCAAAATATGTTTGTTAGATAAATAAACCTGATATGTATGAAGTAATACCTTATGAAAATGTAACAATATTTGAAATAAAATTCTATTAATTTAGCACTTATTTTGTATACTGGAAAATAATTAATGCAAATTTCCATTGTTTTTATTTGATAAACAAAGTAAGATTATGCCATCTTAGTGAATGAGTAAATATTTTAATTATTATCTCACTTTATCTTTCCATATCATTTGATCGAATTTATCTATTAATTCATTTTCGATTTTTTTCTTTTTTTTGATTTATCAAATATCTTTTTTAAAAATAGAGTAATTGATAAGATCTGATTTATAAAATTTCTTTTCAAATGGTCTTTTTTTTTCTCAACATATGACCCGCTTTCTTTTTTTTTTTTGTAGTTATGATTATCTTTGTTGTTATTATTTTTTGTTATGGATTGATATTTGATTGATAAAAGAATCATTCGATCATGATAACTTCCTCCTTGTAATCTGTTACTTAGTACTGATTGATATCTTGTAGTTAGTTGTAGTAATAGTAATAATAATAATAGCAATATTAATTTACTATCATTATCCATAACTTTGTTATTAATTATCATCCATATATCTTGAATAAATTAATTAACATATTAACATCGTAATTACTTTTCCTTTCTTCTGCTTCACCCTTTTTCTTCCTTTATTTTTATCAAAAATTGGAACATTAAAACTTATTGGTTTGAAATGTATGAATCAGATGGAAGCTTATATATATGCTTATATGTGAAAACGTTGTTTGTCAATCTGAAATTAAATTAAAATTAAATTCTGAAAATAAATATAAATATGATTATATGAAATGATAAGTGGTACAAGTACCATTATATATATGGTAAAAACAAAGAAATGAAATTTATTGATTATATCAAGTTTATCAATGATATAATCACGATTACAATGCTAGCATATTCTGATTTAAAACATAAAATATTGAGAAATTATTCATGATATATTTGGGAGGAAGAATTTAACAATAATATAGGGAAAAAAATTCTTTCTTTTTTTTTTTTACGACAAGAAATATAAGTCGAATAATAACGAACTCACATAATGGACTTTTTGAAATTTTCATAATATAAATAAGGATAAATTATTAATTGAAAATTTGTAATTACTGAAATCGGGATGGCAAATCCGGTTACATGAGATTGCGAAATAAACGTTTTATGATCAAATTCCGGGAAATATGATTGATTTAAAAGAATGCTAACAAATAATTGAAATATGTATAAATTATTAATGTTTTAATAATTTTCATTTTAGAATGCTAATATATCAGCTGAAGTCTTATGCTTGCATAAATGTCTATTAGCAAGTATTCCGAATTCGGTACATGGTATGGAAAATGGTATATCAAATGTAACACTTGAATCAAATACCGATGCATTATTGATGTTAATGCAAAAGAAACAGTACAAAAATGCTTTACATATGCTAAGACAACTCAGGTAATAATTTTTTTTTATCATAGCTATTTTTATGTTCCTTAAATTAAAACCAATACTTCAAGAGTTATTGATCAAACATTATACAAAAGTATTTAGTATTTTAAAAATAGGTTGTCGATTGATTTTTCTTTTCTGTTTTTTTTTTTCTTTGTTTGTTTTTTCACAAGAACATCGATGGAATTTCAATGGAAATATTGTTAACTCAAAAATTGATCATCACTTTTCTTCAACTTTTCATAATAATATGATATCTATATATATGCTATCTAATCTATGATAATACAATATCAAACAAAGATTATTCAAAAAAAAAAAAAAAAAATTTAATAGTGAAATTTAAGCGATGACCTTATTTGCTACAGATATAAATGATTTTCTAATTTCAATTATGCAAATTTTACTTTGACTTTATGATTTATTAGTCCGTATTAAGGAGATAACATTCGAAATATCCTGATTTCATTTTATCATTGAATGAAGGAAATGAAATATCATATGATTATTTTGTTCTTTTTTGTTTCTAATTTCAATTATGCAAATTTTACTTTTACTTTATAATTTATAAATCATGATGAAATATCATGTGAATCTTTTCATGAGATTTACATATTGAAAAATTGATCCATCGGAGAGGAAACATTTCTATATCTCTTATCTAATTATCCTTTTTTTTTTTTTATTTCTACATCTCCCTTTATTTATTTGTTTATTTTTTTCTTTTGAATTATTTATTTAAACTTTACTATTACTATAAATAAATCGTACAATTTGAATGTTTTTTTTTTCGACAAAAAGGACGCATTTATTTTGTTATAGTATAGTAAGATATTTTCTTTTTTTATTTATGATAAAAATCTTTATAACCTTAAACTTTCCCCTATAAACTATCTTCAAACAGATGTTATATATATGTATCTTATAGGAAAATGATTGAGTGAAAATGTCAAAATAATTTTTTCTTTTTTTTTTTCAATCATTCATAGCCATCATGGAGCCAATCTATTTGATCGTTTGTTGATTGACTAACTATTTCTAAGATCCTTTCTTTTAACATCTTCTTTTATCTTATTAATTCATTCCATATATATATGTATACTTTTTTCTATGATTTTTATTACATTTATTTTATGTATTAGATTAGGGATTTTATAATTTTATTTAATTTTTATAAAATTTAAAAAAGAAAAATACAGCAAAAAAAGAGGAAAATTTAGAATAGAAATTATGTCTGTTTTTGTTTTTACTTTTGTTTTTTTTTTCGAGATTTCATAACGAATATTTTTGCTTTATTATTGAAATTTGCAAAATTCAAAGTTAAGTTAATATTGAGTACACTATAATTATTTGTTGAAAATTGTAAAGTTACATTTTTTTTTTTTAGTTATCTATTTCAATATTCCTTCTGAAATATTCTGTGGGATATGCGAGAATTTCTTAATACATACAGTACCGGGAAAGATGTTATAACCTAAATCAATAATGAGAGTAACTTAATAAAGCTCTGAGTAAAAGGATTTAAACATCGGTATGTTCATGCATTTTAGAATTTCCAAAAATACCACCACTCACTCTAAATGTTTTTTTTTCGTTTTACCTTATTTTATTTTTTTTAAATAATTTTATTGAAATTTAAATTTTCGAATAGTAATTTTTTAAAATTGATAGCATTTTGTTGTGTGTAAAAATTCAGTTTTCTAATAAAACAAAGGTAAAATTTTGAAATAAGTTAAGAAGTGATATAATTTAAAAAGAAAAAAAAAAGCATCTTATGATTGATTATTAATAGTAGTAGTAGTAGTAGTAGTCTTAGTAGTAGTAGTAGAAGTAGTAGTAGTAGTAGTAGTATACAGTAAGAAGATTGAGATGAGAACATCTAGTATTGTTGCATGGTAATTTACATCATAAATAGATCGGAAAAAAGATGATGAAAAGAAGGTGAAAGGTAAGATAAAGATCTAGCATATGGCGCATCATCATCAGTAAGATTACATCGATCATCTCACGACTTAATTAATTTGTACATAAAATCAATCCAATCTTATCTATTATTAGCAACAGATGTTTTTATTGTCATATTTCAAGATTTGAAAAAATTTCATCATATTTCATAATTTTATTTAAAAATTATTTCTTATTATCATGAAATATTGCTATATATTAGTCTAATAAATCATCCACATCTAAGGTCATCCATAATTGCGAAGATTATAGATGACAAGTGAGCGCGAATAATCTTTGTTTGCTTTTGTGTCCTTGACTATCATGATTACGGTGGTATGGTGATATTGATGATGATTTTTTCAAAAATTGAATTACAATAAATTGATTATTTCTATGCCATATATTATTATATTATATATGGAAAAAATTAAAATTTTCAAAATTTTAATTCATAAAAATGACTTTCATTAAATAAGATTATCCAATTAAAATGATAAGAAATAATTGACTATCGCTAAAAAAAAAAGAAAAAAGATTATTAATCAAGATGATAAGAAATAATTAATAAAAAGTTTAAAATGATACTATTTAAATTATTAGTGAGTTTTATTATTGAATTGTAACATTAAGTATTCATTGGTTGTATTATTTTATTTTAATTTTGATATTTCTAATACGAAAAAAAATGAGAAAAATTTTAAACAAAATTTCAAAATTTTATTTTAACTCTTTTTTTTTTAAAAAAAAAAGAAAGACATAATGTAATCCCTAAATTTTCCTTTCATTTTCTTTTTTTTTTTTCTCTGTAAAATTATAAAACCACAATTATGTTCTTTTGTTTATTGAAATAATGTTAAGTTTTGAATCAATATTTATCATCAATGAAACAACTGACTTCAGATGAAAAATATTGCGATAAATTTGAAGAAAAATATATTAAGTAAGAGTTGTTTGAGTTATAAATTTGTTCGAACAAAAATGAATGATAAATATCTCACTTTATTACAAACTGTTAATTTAGAAAGCAGATAAATGAAAAATTTATTAAAGAAAAATTCTTTTGTTAAGAAAAAAAAAGGGGAAGTTCTTGCAATTATCCTTTTTAAATTAATTTTTAAATTGCATTCGATATCGTAACAATTTAATATTTTGCATTCCTTTTATATAAAATTTACTAATAATATTAAGAACTGAGAATAAAAATGGAATAGGAATATTTGAATAAAAAGAAAGCTCAAAATATTCTTTTTGATCACATTTTTTTTTTTTGATTTAAAAAATTTTTTAGTATGATGTAAAGGAGGGAGAAAGAGAAAGCGAAAGAGATTTAATTAAAAATAAAAACTGCATTTAGTTCTATTTTTAATTTAAATTAAAGAAAAAATCATCAAAAAAAAAGTGGAGAAGAAGATGATGACAGTAAAATATATTTTACTTGTTTCATTTATTAAAACAAATTCTTTTTTTTTTCTACTTCTTAGCTTTTGTGATTTCTTTTTTTTTTTTTTGCATCTTCTGAAATAGTTTCGGGAAAAGCAATGAAATGCAATAAGCGAAAACATTGAATGATATATGAAGTGCTTTAAACATTTTTCTTTTTTTTCTTTTTAAAGTGTTTTTTGTTCCTTTTAAATATTCATCTATTCATTAACGTCTTTTTTTTCTTTGTTGTTTAAATATATCAAAAGAATGTTTAAAATTTTTTTGTTTTTCTTTTTTTTTGAAGAAAAAAGTACCAACCACATCGAAAAATTTTTTTTTTCCTTTAAATTGAATATTTTATTTTAAAGAAAAAAAAATTCCCTCTGTTTTTCCTTTTGTTTTGTCTAAATTATTAATTTAATTCAATTGTATTTTTTGATAAAAATTAAACAGAGAGAAAAAAAAGAGGAAAAATAGGAATAGATAAAATGTTAAGGTAAAATAGAATGCGGAAAATGTTTACTTGTCACAATTATATGTCACTGCTTCATGAATTTTTTTCTCTTTTTTTTTTTGCTCTTAATTCTAAGTTAATTGTTACTTTCTATACTTCCATTTTCTTTTTGTTCTTTTTAGATTTTACTATCTTTCAACGATTCAATTACTATTATCCTTAATTACTCTCATTTGAATTATCATATTTAGAATGATAGATTAGCAACCGATACTGATATCTTAGCTGTTTTTTGTATGTATCTGTTTTCGAAACATTTCCGAATTCAAAATCATTCTTTCGGAAAACTTTTTGGCCGTTTCTGAATCATTTTTTCGCAGGATTTTTTCAGACATTTCCGAATTAGTGTTTCGGGACCTTTTCGAAGAAAGGGATAGATTAGATTAGATATAATTTCTATGAATTATTTGGAAATTAATTAGATATATATTTTTTTCTACCTTATTATATCCAGTTGTTAACTATCAGGTATTATTTAACATTTATGAAATTACATCACCCTAATTAAACTATTTTTAAATAGAGAATTATTTATTCGAAGATATTAAATAGAAGATTTTATTTCAATCAAATTTATTTCCTTTTTTATTCAATCGTAAGTTAATTGATAACAGTCATTTTAAAATCTTTTTAATACTTTATGTATGTAATAAAAAAAATTTTTTTTTCAAATTCTAACAGATAAATGGAAGATCTTAAGGAAATTCTCTTTTTAAATTTGAAAAATTTCTTTCTCCTCTTTCTCTTTCCACGATTGAAGATTTTTAGGCAAAAAAAAAGAGGAAAACAAACAAAGTAAAATTTACTTTATTAAAAAAATATGTTTTAATTTATTTTTTTTAAAAGGTTTTTTGCTTTCCATTTTCACTTATTTAATTATGAAACATTTTCTTGGATAGCCTTTAAGCATTAATTTTAGCTTATGAAATGATAAAAAGTTATTGGTTTAGCCTTAGTATGATTTATTGATTTGATAATTCATAGATTACAAGAAAAAAAAACCTGCTGGAAGCAATAAATTTTTTTTTAATAAATATGATAAAAAAGATATGAAAATGGGAAAGGAAATTTAATGGTTGGAAAAGTTTTTTTTTTTTTTAAAGCATAAAATGCTAAACTGATAAAAGGAATGATTATAAGTTAAAAAAAAAAGAAAAAAAGAAAAGTGGGATAAGAATGAGCATGAAAATAAAAATTTTGTTTTTGTTGAATTGTTAAAAGCTATCGTTTTTGTCATAATGATTTAAATGTAAATGATTAATGATACGAAATTTATATTCTTCTCTTTTCCTTTATCATTTATCTATTATTATCATCATCAATGCTTGAAAGCTTAACATTTATTAGCCAAATCTTTCAAGCTTATATTCACAACATGAAAATGATGCTTTTTAATGTGTAATTTTATTGAAAAATGCTATTTGCGTCATTCATTTTAAGTCTAATTTATGACTTTGTTTTGCTTCTTCTATCATATTTTTCCTTTTCTTTTTTCCCCTCCCTTTTTTTTCCCTCCTAGCTTTGATATCAAAATATATGTGAAGAGGAACATTAGGTTTTTAAAATTAAAAATCTCAAATTTCGAAAATTATTTGTCAAAGTTTATTGCAATAATTTAATCGTCCTTTATAAATTACAACAATAAAAATTGGATAAATTATTTTAAACTTTAAAAAAAAAGCTTTTTGAATTGTTGTTTAAATTTATGTTTCCATGTTTTCGTTTTTAAATATTTTATTATTTTTTTTTTAAATTTATGTTTTTTTGAATAAATACATGAAATTTAGTGGTATTAATGATAGTGTATGAGTGTTAAATTTAAATTTAATGAAATTAATGAACTTTATCAATTATAATTTTACAGGCAACAATTTGGTGCAGAATATGGTTGTTGTGATCAAGTAGATGTTGAAGTATTACTGTTAGTATATTGTCGCAATCATCATCAAACGTCTTGTTGGGCTATCCTAGGAAGTGACAAAGCGTTAACACTTAGCTGTAACCAATTACGACAGAGTAATATGCAGATGGCAACTATTATTCGTGCAATAGCACCTGAAGCACTCATTTTACGATCATCTCGTGTTTCTAGTGCATCTGAATCATACAGATCATAATTGTATATTATTGTTAATTTTAAATTTTTTTTTTCTTTAATCCCATATATTTTGCATATCAAATGATTTTATTTCATTTCCATATAATGTATATTTGTAAATGGATAAAATGATATGAAAATGGTAATGGTAATATTTGTTTGTTTTTTTTTTTTTTGTAATCCAAAATTTTTGACATAAATATTCGATTAATTTCATCAAAGGATTACTGTATGTTATGGTTACTATTCAGGAATTCTATTTTCATTTGAATGATTAATGAGATCTGTATCATATAAAGATTGTGTAAATAATTTACATGTATATTTTTCTTATTACTAAGTTTTTTTCCCCCTCTTTTGTACTTTATTATGAATTTAATATTTTATCATAAGAAATTTCAATTCGAAATGTAAATTAGCATAATTAATTATGATAAGTGCAATTTTTACTTGAAATGTTTTATTCTCCGATGAAAATTTCCTTTTTTTTTTTATTTGAAAAAAGAAATAATTAATACATGAATGGATGAGTGATATATTTTGGTTAAATTAATTTAAAAAATTGTACACTTCATGTAGTTGTAGTTGATTAGCTAGATGAATAATTAATTTCTGATTTTGATTAATTACTTGTTATTTACATTCATTCTGTTTATATTTGTGCTGATAAATTCCTATTCCATTTATTTTCTCACAGTTCTTCAAATTTTCTTTCTTTTTTTTTTTAGTGCAGAAACTTTTTTGAATCATTATAATTGAAAATTGATTAACTCAAAATGGTTAAATGATATTTTGAGGGGAAAAAATTTTGAAAGATATTGAAATTCGAAAATGATTGACGAAAAAAGAAAAAAAGGTAGTGGAAAATTGGTATTATGAAATGAACCAATCATTTATTGCCAAGGATGAAAACATATCTGAAACTGTAAAGACAGTAATTGAAGTAATTGAAAATGATTTATAGGGAAGTTTGTGGGTGACAATTGGTGATACAAATATGCATAGTGTATGCCTGTGTGTGTGATAGTGATAAGATCATAATCAACCAACAATAGGTTATGGAATATAGAAATGAAGAAATAGATTTAAGGATTAATTGAAAGTATTTGCAGAGAAAGGATAAGATTTTGGTTTATAATATGGAACAATGAAGATAAAAATGATAATGATAATATAATGTAGTAAGTAATGATGTGACATGTCGTCCTCTTTTTTTGATAATTAACATCTGTAATGATGTTTGGTTAAATTAAAAATTAATAAATGCTATAATTTAAACAAACAAAAGATATTGTCATTCAGATAAGGGATGAATGGGAAAAATGGATAAGCCAAAAAAAAAGTAGAAGAATAAATTACGAATTAATATTTTAGATTAATTAAAAATAATTTCCTAAGATTATTTATAAATTATCTTTTTAATGCCGTTAGTTATAATAGTGATAATGATAATGAATTTGTAATTGTTATCATTTATAATATTACATCTCATCGTTCGTTTATTTTTATTTTTAATTTCCAATTTTCTTATTTTGCTTAATAACCATTAATAAATAATCGTTTTCGAAGAATTTTCACCGATTAAAAATTTTTGCCATAATGATGACACATTTGCATTTTTGATACAGTAATGGTTATATTCCTATCATTCGGGTGGTCATCATTGTCGGTAACATGATGATAATAATAATGATAATGATAATAATAATTATTATTATACTAATAATAATGGTGATAATAATAATAATAATAATAATAATAATAATAATAATAATAATAATAATAATAACAATAATAATAATAATAATAGTAATAAATAAATTAATAATAATAATAATAATAATAATAATAATAATAATAATAATAATAATAATAATAATAATAATAATAATANATAATAATAATAATAATAAT